GCGTTTTCCGTCTTCGACGCACAGTGGTCCGAATTAGCCAGAACGCGAACTAAGATGTATTTTTTAATGTCGTAGGTTTTCAAGCAAATAGGATTAGCTGGAAAAAAATTAAAAGGTACTAATTGAAGCTATATCATATTTTCTAGGTATCGATGTTCGAACATTTCAATTTTTTTGAAAATTAGTAAAGTGACAGCTATTTATAGTCGATCTATCGTATTTTTATGAAAAATTTCTACCTTTTTTTGAAAGACGTGTGCAGAATTTCGTAATAATCGCTGAATTAGATCTCGAAATATCTTGCACGCCGTTTTTAGCGACGGTATTTCGCAAAAAACTCGTTCTTAAGTTTCGCAACGTAATTTTTCATACGTATCCTTAATTTTTCGCTAATCATTCATTCCTGTCTGGTACATGTGACCATCTGCTTCAACTTTCGTATATTGCGCGGCTGATAGACTAAATTTACGAAAGTTTTTAAACGATCTTTGGGGCACGCGGTGGGATTAGAAATGTCTCACCTTTTTGATACACCGTAATGCACGATGGGACATCTTTAGTGCCATCTCGAAATATTTCAATAGCCTTATTGCCTTTTTCGTTGAGCGTGAAAGTCATTTATTGAAAATATTAGCTGCAATATAAGTAACAGTCTTCGCGTTTGTAACGGCGTTAAATAAACGTTCGAAATTTCGTTTTGATTTCGGGTCAATCGAGTGTGATTTTTACGCGGTGCATACGGATTATTCGATCTTGGCATACCTGAATGAGCCATGAGGTCGATATTTCGATGGTTTATAACACGATCGTAAATAAAGGCTATATCGAAGTTCTATCTCTTAAAGTTGAAATCTTGAAATATTGGGGAGCAATGATCAAGATGGTCTGTCGAATCTTAATTTTAACCATCTCTCTATTCTAAGTAAAGTCTAGGATTTATCAACTCTCGGTAACATATACGCGAAGATGGGTGTTCAATTTCTATGACATACCATTTGTTTTCGGCAACATACTGTTACTTTGGAATAGTGTCAATGCATAAAGAAAAAAAAAAGATATGTACATAATAGATGAGCTCGATTTACATAACACGAAAACGTGACAAAAACGTGACGAAAACGTCCTAACGTTTTATACGTAAAATCTCTATTTATCGTCTTATCAACTTTCGACTTTTTATAGCCTTGCTATCTGATCTATACTATACTATACTATATCGTATATTATGTATCCTAGATTATACGAATATCACTTCATGTATACGTAAATACAGTCAGTTGTGCAATGGCTTAGATGTTCCATGATACGTTATTGTAAGTGCACGAGTATTTGCGTATATGCTCGAACAAATACAGAAATATTATCGTTATACACCTAAAAAATGATATTTTTATTAAATGAAGTATTTACTAACGCTTCTATAATATAGTAGAACACAATTATATTTTAAGTTGATACGAAATTAGGAAAATTTCCAAACTAAAATTTAAATGCGAAATAGATTCTCGTTATCTAATAGATCGATTCAAGCGTTGAAAAACTTTTTGTATATCAGTTTGTTATTTAAATATCATAATTTGCGCGAATATGATGAAACAGAAGCAAAGAAAAAATTCAAAGAACATTTGTCGTACATAATTTGAGTGTTAATGAAAATGTTGATAAAATGTCTATGAACAGAGAATTTAGATATGATATAAATAGAATAGAGAATGAATAATTATTATATAAATCGAGAAGCTGTAGAATGATTGGAAATCATCCTTAACCTGCAAAACGAGGGAATTATGAATAATAAACGAATAAAAATGAATAAATATTTTTTTCCACAAAAAGTTATACGCGTATCGTGTTATCCAATTGCATTATGATTGCGAGATGCAATTGGCAATTCTATCAAATACCAGGATTATAAGTACGGATAAAGATGATCCATCGATGATACGGGGAATATATTATGATTACATTTCGAACAATCTGAAAAGACTATTTCGAAGTATAAATTATTATATGACGTATACATTGGCTCGGCCATGTGTGTAAAGGTACTTTTTATCAATATTCCGCAAACTATTAGATTTCCGCCATGAAAATTTTAAATTTAGACATCGTTTATCTCTTCCTTTTTCTTTGAATTTCATTTCAATTGGTTATCGATGCCCATTGGAACTGCAACCGAAATAGCTTCGTGTGCATCGACTAAATTTTGAATTCGAAATTAAAGATTCGGAATTCATTTTCAACGTAAATGTATTCATCGCACAAGATGGTGTAATTTTTCAAGAACTTTAAAAGCTTTTGCAATTTATGAAAGATGTAAATATTTTTGAATGTCGTATTACACGGTTTATCAGTGATTCGTATATAGATCGTATATAGTCACGATTACGATCGTTATCGACGTCTGATCGAGTTTAAACAATTTTTCTCTAAAAAATAAATAATTGTTTCGAAGTGGATAATCAAATTAGATAATACGAATAATTTATTGAATAGGAATTACAATAAAATGTAAATTCTCGAAGTGAAAATTTATTTTATTTGAATTATATAATATTTGATTCTAATACATTTATGAGATCATTTATATACATAAAGGATTATTATCGCATTTTTCAGTTATTTGCGGTGAAGACAAATGTCCGATATATAATTAACCATGAGGAATTTGTTAACCATGCATAGAAATGTGTATAAAGACTATTTTGTGATAACTTATGTGTATGTAACGAAGCAACATATAAAACATTATACAGTATTATACATTGATGTGTTTGAACTGCTGGAATGTGATAAGACTTCGTTATATATGTATGTTTAGATACGCGATAGAGAATATATTTCTATTAAATACAATAGTTTTCCATTTGACGTTTTGTAATACCTAATGTATGTATGTAGGAATTGTAAGTGTAAGAGTTAGTGCGAAGGAACCGTTGGGCCCGTCTAGTTAGCGACGGGCAATAGACGGTAATATACGGTTTGGACTGAATGTTTAGAGGATGTCTGAGGTGCGCGTGGAAGGACGAGTGACCGCGTGCAAGGATCGGATAAACGGGATATTTATGACTGAATGGAATGCAAATGAAGTTAGGGTACGTGGCCCACCGAGAGCGAGACTATGGGAAATGGGTGATGGAGGAAGAAAGCTTGAGTATAAAAGAAGACAGAATGCAAGGTTCAAGGGCTGTCCTGGGACAGTCCTGTTGGTGAGAGTATACACGAAGTTTACAAAAGAGTCAAGTCGGTGATAATTGGAAGAGTGCGAGTGTGGATTGCGTAGTTAGTTTAATCTTTTAGCTTGTAACTTTACTCGAAGGTCTCTTAGCTCGTAAATAAAATATATATTGGAATTAAACAACATCCTTTTATTCCGTATATTGCCAATCAGAACATATCCCTACATGTATGTAAAAAAGTTCATCGATATTCCCATCTCTTTTTGATCTCGATTCAGCAAAACTGAATCGACTGAGTTTAATTATATCCACTTATGCGCCATGAATTTAATTATTTAAGTTTAACGTTATTTCTCATTTACAATTTTAATCTTTAAAACTGCGATAGTTATTACAAGCATAAATTACATATATTTATTCGCTAAGCGTAATTAAAAAATGTCATTATTCGTCTTATCTGCTCCGTCGATTTAAATTGAGCGAATATTAAATATTTGATCCTTTCTTTGTTATCAAATAGTGGAATACATAAAGAACTACGTAGCTTTACACGATCAGAGGTGGGACGAAAAACTTTCACTTTGTTTCGAACTGAAATTACTAAATTGCTAAAAGAATTTCTGGTTTCTCCTCATTCTTTTTTCTTTTTTTCTTTTTTAGTAGAATTTCTTATTAAGAATAAGAGGTATTTAACTAAGATCATATTTCGATTATGCTGTGCATAACGTGTTCATCGGGATTATCATGTACACCCGTTTTTCACCCTTTCAGTTAATTTTATAAACGTTAAAGATATTAACACGTACAATTAGACGATTAACGATAGTAACAACTTTTTATTTTGTAATACTGTTGTCGGTAACAATGATATACTTAGCAGTTGTAATGGCGTGTTTGACAACTGTCAAGTTGTACAAAGTTGTATTTACTAGAGAGCGAAGCATGTCCGTTATACTTGGCTCTTTGAGAAAGCTCTTCGGCTCAAAATTGCGTTTTACATTTACACGAATTTGCAATCTATTTAACTTGGCTATTTACGATACATATGCAGTTACTCTTGATATGATTTGGTCATGGTATAATTAATACTAAGTTGCATTGTAATTAAACGAAATATCAGATAGACTTTGATCAATCACCTTGGTCGTTAGATTTCCAAGGACTTTTGCCTGGCAATATTTGTACCATATAATGAATATACTTTCATAATTAAATGGAAAATTATTTATTTCGATTCTCATTTGTCTTACTTCTCGAAGATTAAGATTTTTAATAGTTAATTTTAATAGCATGTAATTGTATACTTTTGAAAACACTATGAAAATATCATCGAAGCCAAGTCGGGACTTTATACATCTCCTTTATTGTCGCGTCAGTTAAACATATAGTTCTTACATCGTTAATATCTTGTACACGTGTTAGAGAAGAAAAATCTGAGAGCAAAGTGAAATTATTAGGTTTCACAGTTACACATATACAATAATTGCTGTGATCACCTATAGATTAGTATGAAAATTCAGTGTTTAAATATCGTACATGTAGCGATAGAAAATTTTCATCGAAAATATGATTATAATAATGTAAATGTAATGATTTACATTACGTATCCAAAATGATCTGTAACATAGTTTCCAGGCATATATTCTCTAATGGTAAAAATCGTAAAATTAGTTTCCATTCGTAACATATATAAAGAGAGATAAAGAACGAACGCGATAGTTGATTGGTCGAAGGAAGAAAAGGAAAGAAAAGAAAAAAAAAAAAGCTTTGTAAAGCCTGTCGTCTAATCGGCGAACGAGAAAAGTGTTGGCTGATATAAAGTTAACTCGGTATTTCCGATCTGCAACACATTTCTATCTGGTAATGGGTGGTATCGACAATCTCGAGGAACTGTTCCTTCATTTCTCTAGCTTTCACGTAAACGTCCTCCTTCATTAAGTCGTAACACATAGCGATAAGTCCCATTCCGAGTAACAAGTAAACAAAATTGATTATCAATTTAGTTTGGCTATCGGCGGTTAGATCACCGTGTGTCCAACCAGGGACAAGGTCACCCATTCCAATTTTGCATAGCGATGTAACGCAAAAGTAAGCACTGTCCAAGTAATTCCATCCTTCCCACTCGGCAAACATTATCGAGCCGCTTAGGACGTATCCGAAGATGACCCAGAGGCAAGCTGTAGACGGCACTGTGATTCTCTGGCCAGATTTCCGTTTGCCAGTGCACTCGTGCAACCACGTGTACAACGATCGAAAGGTTTGCGCCAATACTTTTCCCATATTAAGAAAATATAAAACGTAAAGGGGAATACCCAATACGGCGTAAATAACGGTCACTGCCTTTCCCCATGCAGTTTGAGGCACTAAAGTCCCATAGCCGATCATGGTGAAGACGGAAAGGCAGAACATCATCGCTGCCGGGAAGGACCAGAGATCGGTCGGTGTCAAGCCACTACAATTCTCCTTCCTGTAGTCACCGGTGAAGTTGTCTTGATAACGGCGAAGAATTCGATTAGACACTATGCGAAATGTCGTTTTATCGAACACGTTTATAGTTTGATTGCTGGCAGTACGGAGCCATAATTCTTCGGCAAACTGTTTTCTAATTAATTCTCGAATACAAATTGTCGATGAAATCTGATTTTGAGACTCGATCATCATAAAGCCAAGAGCGCCTATTATAGCGTAACCGACCACGAGTCCACCAACGCCAACCTGAGTACACATAAAGGCAATGAATTTTCTGCAGCAGTCTTTAATACGTTCTCTAAGATCCGGATTGGTCGATGTCGAATTGGAATCTCGACTTTTTAGCGAGGATCTTATCGGGACACGCGTCATTTTGTTTGTACACAAAATGAAAATCAAGCGACAATATTCGGAACTGAGGGAGCTGCACGCGTTAGCCAACACTAAATGATTTTCGTCCCGCTTTTCTATTTCTGTCCGAACGCGCTGCTTCGTCTTACACTCTATCCTTTGCTCCTTCTTTTTCCGTTTCACTCTCTTCTTAGTTCAGGCTTTACTGCTTTTATCTACAACGCTACACATACACGCGTGCGCGCGTTCCAAGATATTTCGGACTTGCTTCGATAAAATGGTAGCTGCATAGGTCTATCGAATAGTATTAACGCCGACGTTGCAGAAATTCCACGAAAACCAGATATAACTACAGCTGTCACTAGAACTTGAGTTTTTTTCTTCGATAGTGTTAAGAAAATCTACCATGAAAGGCCACTTGAAAAATCAAAAACCATCCAGTCATTCTACTATAGATAAAAGCGACGAATCTTTAACGCGCTTTATTCAAAAATTTTCAAGACTTTAAGAGAAATATGCCTCGTAAGGGTACGATTCGAATAAGAATTTAAGCTGTTCGCTTAATTATCCAATGAATAAGCGTTACGTTTCGTTACGTTTCTTATTTGTTTTCTTTTAGTTACCGTATGTATCTTTTCATCGGTACTGCATGTAATCTATAATACATATACAAATGAATCTACATAGTTAGATACTATAGAGTAGAGAAGGAATTGACGAGGCAAAAGGAAACGGTATTAGACGACTTACGAGTGTATGTGACTAGTCCACATGTTTCGAAAAGTGAAATGTTTCGAAAATTCAAGGCCACGTTTATATTTTTCTTTTAACTGGAACTGTATATATATATTTTCCTCATATGCCAATACGCGCATCCTTTTTATTTCTTACAAAACGGTATTAGAGCATTTAAATAGAAAAGTAATTAATATAGAATTAAGTACGTTGAACGTGTTTTGCACGTGTATCGTATGTTTAGCAAGAAGCAATTTGAAATTTTCATTAGATTACATAAATAACGAATAGCCAAATATATAGGTAGGTAAAAAGATGTAGCAGCAGGTACGATGCATCGAAGAAACATGGGCATCTAAACAATATCGAAAGAAATAACGTTGAAAGATATTTTAGAAAATATTCTGAACTAACACCAATTTTCAATCCGTGTCCTAATACTTTTCTATAGCGAATGAGAAAATGCATTTGCCGATACAGATAACAAAATATACGATCTTATGTAAGAAAATACAGGTGACCTTAAAATCTCCCCAACGTTTCCATCCTCAAAATATTTCCACCCATCAGATTATGCACCACTCGATGCCATTTAATTTTGTCTTATAAATATTTTTCTATCTCCCAGCATTGCAGAATTATAGCTGGGTCCAGCTGTATCTGCATATATATATTCAAAATTAATTCTCCAGCGACTGTCTTCTTTTTTCTTCAATAGCTTCTTCCTTCGATATTTATATACATTTATCAAGTTTGAAACAAAAAAAGTTATACTTATATGTAAAAGAATCAGGAAAGAAAAAGGTTATTGAAGAAAAAAAGAAATAGTCGATGAAGAATTAATTTTGCATTTTGTATAAATTATTCAGAAACTACGATGAATATTCACGTGACATTGGTTAAGAACCGTATAATATGATACTACGAAGAAAATTCGTCTGTTTTATTGATATATAAAAATTTGCCTCCTTTAGCTATATATACAATATTATTAATTCATGTTAACCGGGACCCCTACTAAAGACACGATCGATTATTGACGTCGTTGGACGTCGATTAACTGAAAATTAACTGAAAATTTCATGATCAAAATCTGGATTATCGGAATTATCGGATTATTTGAACAGTATTATCTGAAAATAGGAAATATGTAGAATTTCGTTCTAAGAATCATCTTTTCATGTTCGGCTATGTATTGTACATTTTTCGTTCATTATTGGTATTTATCGATTACATTTGATAACCAATAGTGACGATTAGTGACATTCGTATCGTTTATGTATATACATCGAGATGTCGACGAATTCTTAAATACTTACGATAAGAGGATATGCTGCTTTAAAAACAGGTTTAAGATGATTTCGAGTGAAAACATTATTGATTTGACAGTTAAGAAAGATTGGAAGACTGAAATGGATATCGGAGAAAATTGTTAACTTAATATAAATAATAAATTCGATTATTCAAACGATCTTGTATCGTGTTTTGGTTCCAATAATCGAGGTTCTACTCTATATAATATATTATGTTATTTGTCACAATTAACACACATAGTGCAGAAAAAAAAAATTGTATCGTGATTTTCGATTAACATTCATTATTAAATTATCGTAAATATGGTATTTATTAAAATCTTAATATAGCGATTAATTTGTTGTACTAGCAGTGTCGTTTCCATTATAGTTGAAGAACAGGAAACTAAAAATATGTGTGATAAATAAATTTTATTTATCATGTTAAAATAAAGTTATTACATGGAAACGTAAAGTATGTTATATATGATGGATCAATAACGTTTGATGATTTGAAGACATAAACTCGAATAATCGACGCTAATAAATAAGGAAGTAGATATATTTGTTTATTTTTTGTTTCGTAGCAAAGATTCTATGGATGTTGCCAAGATACGTAATAAAATGAATTTCGTTTTTGTATACACGATCTACGCGATCTAAACATACGTTGCATTTTTGTAAGTTTAAACATAATTTACAAAAATACGAATCTTGTCAGTTGCGTAACACACCCTGCGAAGGTGGGCGAGGGAGAGAGAGGGGGAGAGAGGGAGAGAGAAAATTTCAGGGGGAAGCCAGAGATATTTAGGAGATATTTTTGTTTCAACGTGTAGTGGAATGTACAATATGTATTTACGTACACATACACACGAATGGAAAAATATACGGTTGCTCCTGAAGCCATTCGAACGCTTGTATCTTAAACTTTTAAAAAATGAAATACGCACTTTCGATTTACATTTCGAGAATCATACTGTACATAAGATGAAATGTATCTTACGATATATGTTAAAAATATATCGGAAAAATTATGAACGAACAACAACGAATGTCGAATTTATTGGACACCGAATGCGGATATAAGTAAATACCTTACTCCGGAGTTACAAAAGTACTTGAAAACATGATTTATAAGTTTATATCGGTAGATAATACATTTAGCTGAATATCTTTAACATTTTCAACATTAATTATTTAACATTACTTATACAATATTCATTAATCGTATATAATGTTTTCTTTTTCATGTCTTTGCTTTTATAGTACTTTCCTTAAAGCATCTGTAGACACCTTTAGAGTAGCTTACTTGATCCTATAAAGAATATGTCTGTATTCTATGTTTCGCAAATTTTATATCGTAAGATTTTTTGGCCAATTTCTAGACCACCTGGGTCTTCTCTCAATTTTGATGACCGTGAAATATGTTAAAAAGCATTAAATTTCGATAATTTTTATCATTGCTGTATTATTGGATTGTCTTTATATTCCGAAATATTAGCAAAATTCCATTTCTACTACTGCACACAATTCAGTATGTTCTATATCTGTAGATATAGGAGGTATCCGACTTTAATCTATAAATGAAATTTTATATTTAACCTATAAATGAAAAGACACGTTAAATGCTCGCTGGATATAAAAATCTTTCGATCAGAAATTAAATGGTTGCTAGAGGACTATGAGATAGTATAAATTACTTTATTCTATATGGGCAAGTTGAAAATATGTATATGAAGGTCAATTTTCTTTCTTAAATGGAATTATATAATTTTTAATGTGGTGATTGTTTCGGTACATCGTTTCTATACAAAATGGTACTAGACGATTTATGTTGGAAAATTAGTTTGGGAGATACGTAACTACAGATATTAAGAACGAAAATAATGTTTTTGAACAATAATGGAACATTTAGGTTTATTTATTTCTTTTATTATTCTATTATGCGGAGAGTGCGGTAAACACTAACACCCAAGCAAAAAGTCAAGGAAAACGAAAACTGGAACAAAGACATTTAAAACAAGCAAGGTTGTCATTTGTAATTATAATTATATTAATCACTTAGAAATTATAACGAACAACATCGATAATATATGAAAATAAAATATGCTAATCTCGAGCAAGTTCTCAATTGCGTTCAATTGATTCTTTTAACGAATCTGTGATATCAGACTTAATCTGCCACTTTGCAGTTTTATTCAAATTGTGTATCAATTTATTCTGTTCAGCTAAAGAAAAGGTAATTTCCTGCAACTATTCCGCAGTTAAATCATAAAAGGTTTTAGTACATTTTAAAGTATAACTTTCCAATTCTTTCGCTTAGTCTTTAAAAAATATATTTTTTCTTCTCCTTTCTAGTATCTGTACAACTGGCTTTTTGATATGGTAATGTACTACTATGAAATATGGTAGTTTCTTGGACAGAATAGGAAACAGCTGCTCTTCCTAACGTTATTCTTTATTTTCATTATCAAAGATATCGTTTTCTAAATTTTCTGTTCTACATTTGGTTTTTGTTTAACTTTTTATTCTTTTTTCAATACGTTCGTTGCATCAAGGAAGAGAAAAAGAAAAGAAAAAGGAAAATAGAAGAAAGTATTTGAAAACAAATGTAAAAATACATCATTGTGTACAGGCGGAATTAATGCGGTAGTGTGAACAATTTTTGCAAATATCTCGGAAATTAAGGGCAAGCGGCAATTATTGTTCAGATAAAAGGTGTTCAGAATTTCGTTCTTTACAACATGTTCAAAAATCATAAGGATCGACTCACGCATTCTGCGGTTTTCAACAATTTTATGTTTTTGGTCAAAAAACTAGTAACATTTTCAAGCTCCCCCGATCTATATTTCTTATTGAGGCACAAATAAAGCCTTTTGTGAAAAAACCGGAAAAACAAGACGCGTTTAGGGTAAAGTCTGCATATTTACCCAATTTCGTGCAATGACAAAAGTAGAAGATTCATATTTCTTATTCTGAAGTTGTTTTAACGTACTTGTCGATTTAGAGTAAATTTTCTTTGTTGTATTACAGGATTTGTGTAAATTTCACCAACTTTATCTAGCGATGAAGCAGAAGATTTTATTTTAGAGCAGCCCGATTTGCTGAACGAACCAGATCCAAGCGACCATAAAAAGCCAAGAGGAAAACAGCAAATTGTAAATATGAAGCTCTCCGCTACATTAGATAAATGCAAATAAGTGATACAGTAAGCGATAAAGATGCATTGCGTATTTTGATTGATGATATTTAACCGATAACTTCGAGTTGGCGTTATCGATTTAGTATAAATATCAATTTCTTACAAAATGATCCATCAACTTGCGAAACCGATGAAACTATAAATCAGCGTTAGAAATAGTGGAAATTTGAAAAGTGATCAACGATGTCGCAAAGTGTCGTGTGAAGCTGATGACGGAAAACAATAATTTATTAACAGAAGATGAAGAAATTAAACAGCATATATTAGAAATATTAGTAAATCTACCTTGAAAAATTAACGTACAGTAACGTATAATAATATAATGTATAATAAATCTATAATAAATAACAAGTTAATTTACAATAGATTATATTTATATCAAGTTCTTTTCAAGTTTAAATGTTATTTTGTTGATAGTTACATAATTATAAGATAATAGCAAGTAATGAAATTTTGTAAATAAAAGATGCATGACTCCTCCATGATTGTGCATATAAGTGTAATGGTTTAGA